ATAATATTTCAAATCACCTGCAAATAGTAAAACCTTTGCGTACTATAAACAGTTTCCAATGTCATTAACAAATAGATTGAACATTAATGGTCCACAGTGTGATCCTTGTGGCACTCCGGAAGCTACAAGAATTGTTTCAGAAATGTAATTATTAATTCTAACGCACTGAAAACGTTGTGTTAAGAATCTTCTTATCCAATTTAGTAAACCAGTGCCAAAAACTAGAGCTTTCAGTTTTTCCAAAAACATCAAATGTTTAACCCTATCAAATGCCGTCGAGAAATCAGTATATATAGAACCTATTTGATTACCATTCACCAAGACATGTGACAAATGTTGTTAATATGTTATAAGTATTGTCATAGTAGATCGTTCTGAACAGAATTATTATATTCTTGCAGGCCCAGGTCAACTGACAAGTTACTAGTTTATCCATCAACTTAGATACCACAGACTGAATGCAAATTCCTCTACAATTTGTAACATTTTCCCTATTGCCTAATTTGAATATAAGTGTAATATAGCTATTTTCCTAATAATCCAAAAAATGTCCAATATAGAGAGATAGACTGAAAAGAAACTGTATATATATATATATATATCCTATCATCCCTACCTCTGGCATTGAGTTCTTCCATAACCTGTGTTAAAATAGGAGCGAGCTTTGAGCTTGCATTCCCTCCAGATAGAAAACTGCTCTCAATCTCCATGGCCATTAGGTAATCAGAGAGTTTAGTTACCACTGACTCGTACTGAACGGTTCTTGCATAGCTGTCACATACAAAGCATAAATTGAAGTAAAAGGCATTTCTCGCATACTTCTTGTCATCAATGCGGACCGGAAAACCCAGAATTTTGTGGTCTTGCAAAGTTCTGTAAAAAAACCTATATGTTACACTTCTTCTAAGAACACAACTATAGAAGATATTTCCTCTAACGTTGGTTCGTAGCACAAAGGGCCCCTTTACTAATTGTTTACATGAGAATGACCATAATCTGCATTTTTATATGAGAGTGAGGAGACTGAAAATGTGATCCAATGAATAACTGCTATCACAATTAGAACCACAGACCACTATGTTACGAGTCGTATGACTTGTCACGAAAGGCTACTGAGAGTATTCAATAGAGAAATGGAATGGGTTTATTGCATGTTATTAGAACTGAAATTATTTTAGAAATATATGTTGCGCAGTCACAAAACAACAGCTATCGTTCTTCAGACTCAATTTCGGGTTCACTAACATCAATATAGTATGTTTCTTTTCAATGTCAATTTGCCCAAAATAAATTCTACAAATTCATAACAAGTTCTTGAGATATAGGGTGAAAACTAAAGCTTTGGGCTAAGTAATAAAAGTGCATCCCCACAATCAGTTACCGAAATGCCGAGTATACTACATCTTAACCTAACAAAAATCCCATCAACCTCAACGTGACCAAAAAAATTTAAATTCGCTGGTAGATGGACGAAACATATTCTTGATACATAAATAGTGGTTGGTAATGTTATGTTTATTATAGTCAACCTCTGCCATAATTCTTGAAATTATTATGGTTCTGTCAGGGCCTGCAAGATCACCCAATTTTCGGGTTGTCGGGGAAGTTATCGTCACTGGTGTCCCGAAGCTTTAAAAACACCAAAACCATTGCTCGAATAATCCACAAGCTACTGAGATTGGAAAACATCCCAACTGCCTAAACTAAATGATTCACAAAGAACGTCACACATCCCACAATATTGCGCACTTTGCTTCTGCAAGCCCCAATTCCATTCTCAATCAACCCTACCCTCATTCACATTACCGGTCCATCCCTTCACTCATCCAGAGACATAACTAAAATACCAGAGCCTATAAAATGTGAACCCACAGTAATTGCTTGGAAGTAGGCAGATTGAGACCTTCGATGACGAAATTCTAACCAGACCTAATAATACATTTACTGTAGTCATTAGGTTTGGTAGATAAGTTAAACCCCCATCAAGGTTAGCAATATAAAACTTGAATCTGATTACTATTCTGAAAATTTGTAACTCAAGGTGAGAATTTGTTGTAAATCTCTATGCATATTTCCTCTGAAATAATGTTGGATCATTCAGTATAACTGAGAATATTGATATATGTCCAACTGACTTTTAGTAATGTCAGATTTTGATGATATATCAGAATGTTTTCCGTTGATTAGTCTTTTATGAATGCCATTCCAACTCCATACTAAACGTTTTCAATCACTGGGTAGATGCTTTTTGAAGATGAGCCAAGAAGAGAAGAGATCGATGTCATCATTTGAGAAAAACATAGACTTGCATCTGTATTGTACAAGACGAGCTGATAAAATATGTCTGAAGCAATATAAGCACACTGGTTATAAAACGCTCCCAATACTCTGAAGCAATTTCAGAATAGTTTGAAAAACTGTTGATGCATTTTACTCGATAGAAGTGATAATCAAATGGTTATGAATATGGAAGTCTCTAGTTTCATCACTTTGCTTGTTTTGCTTTCTATTATTTATTGCTTTCATAATCTTGCTTGATTGTATTTCATATTATTTTATTTGTATTGTTTTATGAATCATATATGTGTAAATTATTCATCATTGTGTGGCTTAATATTTTCATAAATTTAAATTATATATGACAAGAACCCTGTTTGTGTTGGCTACAAAAAAAAATACTTTTTGTAAAGATGTACCCATTGGACACAATGCCAATCTTAAAATCCCACTACAAACTATCTAAAGTATTATTATCAATCTAAGTCATTCTTACACAGTTATAGTACTCTTCTGCAGTTCTGCTTTTGTAATGATATACACACTTATGCTATCGAATAACTCCTTGGAAATATAATTTTCTGGAACCTAAGGAAACCGATATTTCAATTTCTATTTGTATTCTTCAGGAAACTTACCTGACAAGATATAATAGGTCCTGCTATTGGGTGAAATTCACAAAAAAATATACAGCGTATTGGTCCTTCCTTTCCACTGAATTCCATGTGAGCTTTAAGCGAGGATTTAATATTCATTTTTGTAAAAAAACACAAAACAGATCTCAAAATATAAATTTCAAACTGTTAATTGACATTGACCTTCGACTCAAGAAATGTCTTCTCTCTCTCTTCTTTATTGGCCGATGCTTCCTGTTCAGGCGCAATTGGGGCATCAAGAAATGTCAAGAATTCAAATTATGTGAAATGTCAATCACATGTCAATTATGTTTGGTTTTAAAAATCGAATCGACCGTGCATATTCAGATTTGAAACCAGGTGACGGAGTAAAACACATTTAACCGACTAAGATTTTTACATAAGAGCGGTAAAGTTTCATTTTCTACAACAGAACTGCAATTTATAATTTTCATTGTGAAATGCAAACATTTTTACAATTAGTTCAAAATGACTAGCATTGAAGAAGGCATTATTAGGTATGTCAATGGGAATGTATCGTGAACTCTTCTTTGAAGATGGTATATCATGGCAAATGAAAGCCAAAAATGTCATCAAACTACCTAAAACTCAACAACATTTTTGCAAATATGACAATTGAGAATTGAAAAATCTGTCTGATCCTAATAATCATATCGGTGCTAACCGATCTCATTTTTTCCTGGCACATCTGCACACAAAGCAGATATAACTGAGACAATCGATTTACCGAAGGAAGTTTATTTTTTCGCTCAGATATGTATTAAACGAACATACCTAAAAAGTAGATCACACCAGAGACGGGATTGGAACGTTCCAGTCGCGAATGCGATTGGAAAACACCAAGACAAAATACCGAGCGAAACTGCATGAAAAGGAACGACCATATTTGAGATATGGTGGAGATATGTTGATGATGAATTCGCTATCTAGGACCATAACCCAGATGATATCAACATTTTCTTGAAATATCTGAACTCGAGAGAACCCACGATAAAATTTACATTAGAAATCGATGAAAACTCTTGATACGAATATTCAAATGAAATTCGAAATTTCGAGACTCAAATTCGTAATTCACAAGAAACAAATAACAGAAACATGTGGCTCTTCTGGGCTTCCGTAGAATATACAGACAGAGACTCAAGTTTATGTGGTCAGTGGTGTAATCCAGAGATAGATCGATATTTGAAGAAAGATATTTTGGGGGTCAACTTTATGATATCGTTCCGTCGCAGTATTCAAGAATATACACGACGATATTTTGCAATAGACGTTATCGCAGGTTATCGTATCGCGTTGCGTCTTCTCTTCCTCTCAGTATTATGATCTGTTCGCTGAGCGTCATGAATTTCTGGTTGATGACGCTTGTTCTGGTTCTGAAGTTGATTATGAACTTCCCTTTCTAATTCCTTCCCTTCCTACATTCGGTTTTGTTCTATTTTTTTTAGATTTCTATCATTTTTTAATTCAGTTCTTACAATTCATCGAAACTCACCAGGAACACTTTGTAGAAAGAGCTCCCAATAAAGTCTCAGAGTAATAATGAAGTTAGTACAAGCAATACACAACATATGCAGATCTCACAATCACGACAAATCCAACAACAATACATATATCTCATATCCACAGATGCTCATAACTTAACGTCATACCTTATGTTCTCGGTTTGTTTGAGAAATTGAGACGGATTAGTCACAGGTATAATGTAAATTTGTGTTCTGTGTCTTGTCTAGTAAAAATAGAAAGATATTTGGAATTTTGGATGACCTGTGACCGAGTTTCTTAATTTGTATTTTGACGTCACATATAATATCCAATACAATATAATTTATAACCTTATAAATTGTGTTGTGCCACTATAATTGAAAAAAAACAAGAAGAAATACATATTTTGCTTCTTTTCAATCGTTGCCAGATTGCAATTTTGTCTGTTCAACAAGTAAACATATATAGGTATATTCTTTCAAAATGGCAGGCTCAGGCGTTTTCCATATCGAATTAAATGATGGGGAACCAGTCGAAATCAACGATTCAGACGATGATATTGTTGATGAGGAGGTGAGTTTGGGTTTAAATAAGAATCTGCACAATTGATTTTTATGAATTCATGATGGACAAACAATAATTTCTGCCTATCAAGTACCAACATACCATTATGGCGAAATATTTGAAGAACGATATGTTTTTTTGTTCAAATTCATAGGAGAGATAGAAATAATTTCTATCAAAACAACAATGAGCGTGGTTCTATATTTTTGTGTTGCAATTCAAACCATTTCTGCTAGTTTTATTTATTGTTTTTTTTTGAGGTTAAAAAAATTCAGTGGTCTGCTGATTTGAAAAATACCCACTTATCTTTCACATGTTTATAAATGGATTGTAGTTGTTATCATGTTCCTAAGTGAAATTCATTTTCACTATAAGTTGTAGCTTATAGTAAAATAAGCTGTAGCTTTTAGTAAAACACCTTTGTTTCAAACCTACCTTCACTTTCATCATTTGAGTTCCTTGATATACATTTTTGTATGTACTTTTTATAAAGGTGCACACTCGAGTAACAAGTATGAATTATATATTAACAAGGAACAAATAATAGATTTTATTTCATGTATGTATTCCCTTTCAAAATGTAGTATGGAAGTATTTGAGTCTTCAGATTTTTTTAAGAAAAAAAATAATACTTACTGTCAGAGGAATTTATAGTATCAGATGTAATCAAAATTTCACAAGAATTTTTCCGCCAGAAGCCCTTGATGTATGAGTAATAGTGGAAGTTTATTCCCTTAACTATAATTGCCTGCTAATCAAGAAGGTAATATCTACATTTTCATGATTTCAACCATGGTTTCTATACATTTTTTTTCCCTAAAAAGTAACATATAAAAGGTAAAACTGGAACCTCTGGCATAGAATAATAAATCCAAAACAGGAATTTTTCCCTATCACCAGGAATGCAATACTCTTCTCGGTGAATTTTTCACTTGGATTTTCACTAAATGTAGATGCAACTTCCTTGATTAGCAAGGCAGTATATAGGTAAATAGAAGAATTAGGAATTAGTATATTTAGTTTCTTGATGTCACCAACATAGTTGGTTGACGGTGCATCAAGAAAAATATCGCAGTTCTGTTGAGTGAAAGCATGGATTCATTCTATGCCAGAGGTTTCAATTGCGTCTTTCACTGAATCTTCTTTATTATACAATTGTATAATCATCTTCACTCATCTCTGGAAGTACTAAGCTTTGCAAAATCTAAATTCACTTATAGAAAGTTTCTTCTGATTTTACAATTATACTTTTATTTCACATACCTACACTCTTTCCACTTACCACGCGTATCACTGGTACCACCACTGACATGCGGGAACGTTTCAGGTGGTACGCATGAGTGATGTGAGCAACATGCTGTTAATAGCAAACATGACTCAGCTCACGGGTTGCTAGAAAAACGAATTATCCATAACCCAGTGAACAACCTAACATCTTTGTTTTTCTATTACATTGGAATTTATAATTCCTAGATAATGAAACAATAAAACACTTTAGGAATTTTACCTAGGAATCCCCAGATTCACCAGATTGGTGAACAAAGGGTGTTTCATTTTTTACCTGTGGGTCTTTTATTTTCACTTAAAATTACAGGTTCATTGTGGGTGGGGTAATTATTATTTCTGATTTCGTATAAGAAAACTGAACTATGAAACGATTTCTGACATCCTCTTCTACTTCAAAGGATTGTGCTAAAAAACCTAAATTACCGGCCAATTGTAAATACGATGAAAGCTACTTACAGTACGGTTTTATAGTGAAGCCAGGGACTGAAACCAGTGACATTCCTATTCCTCAATGTGTTGTATGTTTTGAAACACTTTCGAAAAAATCCATGAAGCTTTCTTTACTGATGCGACACCAAAATAATAGGCACCCTGATTTGATTGGTAAGCCCATTGAATTTTTTAAAAGAAAATCTAATTTTTTAAAGATAGAAACCCAATGTTTGACGAAGTTTGTCAATACTGATACTAACTTGATAAAAGCGTCATACCTTGGTAGTTTGAGAATTGCAAAAGATGGAAAGCCTCACACAATAGAGAGACGTTTTTACTGCCGGCCGCTGTGGATATGGTTCAAGCCGTGTCAGGAGAAAAGGCAGCCAAAGAAATTTACAAAATACCACTGTCAAATAACACAGTAAAAAGACGAAATGACGACATATCTAATAATATTGAAGAACGACTGGCTTTAAAACTCCAAGAATGCACTTATTTTGCACTTCAAGTTGACGAAAGCACTGATTTTACAAACATGGCGCAGCTACTTGTTTTCGTGCAATTTGATTGTAATGAAGAGGTGATAAAAGAGCTTTTTTCTGCAAACAACTTGAATCAAATACCACAGCGGAACTCATTTTTGAGGTAATTGATGAATATGTGCTCAAAGGGCATTCCCTGGTCCAAGTGTATTGGCTTGTGTACAGATTGGGCAAAAGCTATGTCAGAAAAATTAACGGGGTTAGCAGCAAAAATGAAGGGAGTTGCTCCTGAATGCAAAAGTACGTATTGTGTCATCCATCACGAAGTATTAGCTGGTAGAGGTATGCTGGAAAATCTTAACTCCGTTCTATCAGATACTGTGAAAGTTATTAACTTCATAAAGGCTAGGGCTCTAAACACAAGATTATTTTACTTGAAGTGTGAAGAAATGGGTGGCAAGTTCAAAACTTTACTCCTGCATACAGACGTGAGGTGGTTATCTTGTGGAAACATTTTGAACTGTCTCTTTGAACTGAGATCTGAAGTTTTCATGTTTTTAAGTGAAAAAAATTACAATAAAAAAATTGTTTGCTGATGAAGAATAGTTGTCAAGATTGGCTTACCTAGCCGACATTTTTGACAAAGTCAACACACTGAACTTGGGACTTCAGGGACCAAACACAACAGCCTTCATAGCCAGTGACAAAATAAACTCCTTCAAGAGAAAGTTTGTCCTTTTTTGTTCACAAATACATGAAATATCTCCAATGTCAGATGCGGTTGCAGATTTCATTGTTCACTTGGAAGGCCTTCAAAAAAGCTTTAAGAAGTATTTCTCTGAAGATTATTCAAAAGTGGACTGGATCAGAAATCCTTTTTCGGGAACCTCACCAAATGAATTGGAACTAAAAGGAGGTTTTATCGACTTACAGAAGATAGTTCCATGAAAGATTATTTTAAAGAGAAATCTTTAACTAATTTCTGGATCGGATGTAAAACCGAGTAACTTTTGCTCTTCTGACAAGCTCTGCTATTTTTGATGCCATTTGTTACGAGTTACTTGTGTACATAAAAAATAAATATAGAAGCAGAATAAGTGTTAAAGAGTACTTAAGAGAGAAGATAAGTTAATGATCAATATTTTGCTGACTTTTTGATCATTTTTTATTAGTATGTTTTTAGACCTATGGGTAATAAGTAAAACTGTAACTTAATACCATTTTAATCTTTTTATTCCTCCTTTATTATAAGCATGTTATAAATAAACAAACATCTAACCATTAAATATGACTTTCTTATTAGTCAGTGGGCTATGCTTGAAGACTGGCAGTAAACAAATCTGAAGAAATGAACTTTAAACGTTCAAGCCAGTCTCGAATATACCTACACAGTAGGTTAAATGGACTGACGTCTATCAGGAAACAACTACTACCCTGGCTAATACCACGAAGGGCGTTGGATTATATCCGTTGGAACGTTTAAAGTTCATTTCTTTAGATTTGTTTACTGCCAGTCTTCAAGCATAGCCCACTGACTAATAAGAAAGTTTTTCTTCCGTATTCAGAGGAATAGGGCAAATTACGGATATGCAGTTGGTTAGTACCTCGTCCACCAGATGGAGTGACATTTTGTTGTTTCGCTCCAACTTAGGAAGAGGAATGAAATACTCTGAAAGAATTCCGATTTTCAATTATGCAATATCATCGGCTTTAGGTCGATGGTGGTCACTATCTAGCACTGATGAGTGGCTAATGAGCCCGAAACCGGTCTGCAAGCGTGCCCGTTCCAAAATTGAAGGTCGACTCTTTCAGTTGTACTTATTGCCAGATGCATATGCAGGAAAATTGCGGCAGTTGTATCGCCAGCAGCATATGCAGGAATAACTTCTGTGAAGAATCCTGCACTGACACCTGTCGGATATAATCCAACGCCCTTCGTGGTATTAGCCAGGGGAGTAGTTGTTTTTTAATAGGTGTCAGTCCATTAACCTACTGTGTAGGGAGTTAAGACTGGCCTGAACGAATTGTTCTCAGATAATTTGGTTTAAAATTATAACATCAAATTATCACGTTGATTAGGTAGCAAGTTTGAATTTTGTTTCTCCAGGAGTTTTAGAAAAAAAAATCTTAATTTTTTCGTACTTTTGACACCATGTATCTCAGAGCGGATGCATTTTAAGACAAAATGAGGTGATGAATCTGTAGTCGGAGATTGTCGGTCTTATTCTGACTCACCCTGTATATGTATATGGACATACATACGTATGTACGTACGTACGTACGTATGTAAATATGTACGTACATATTTATTTGTAATTCAGGTTCACTCACTGCAATCAAAATATCATCTGCAAATAGGTTGATGAATTCACATCCATTAATGAAGTTGATGTCATTAATGTAAAGAACAAATAGAAGCGGGCTCAAAGCACCACCTTGAGGTACACCATCATTGACACCTTTTTGGTTTGAATATGTCCCGTTAATATTAGTCTGTTGAGTTCGACCAGAGAGGTAGCTTTCAAACCATTCAAGTACTGAACCAGAAATTCCATAATATTTGAGTTTTTTAGTAGGATAGTAACATCAATTGTCTCAGATGCCCTTTTAAAGTCTAGAAAGACTACCACTATATATTTATTATCATCAACACCAAGTTTCCATTTGGATATGGAAACTTGTAATGCTGTTTCACATGAGTATTTAAAAAAAGTGACGAAATGACATTTCTTTATGTTCAGGTACAAGTTGTTTGTTGAAGACATATCATGTATAATATCTAATTCTTTCTGAAGAATCTGAGTGTGTAAAACATCAATCACTAACTGATAAATATAATTTCAATCATCTGAAAATAGTAGAAACTTTGCATACTGTAAACAATTTCCAATGTCATTAACAAATAGATTGAACAATAATGGTCCACAGTGTGATCCTTGTGGCACTCCGGAAGCTACAAGAATTGTTTCAGAAATGTAATTATTAATTCTAACACACTGAAAACGTCATGTTAAGAATCTTCTTATCCAATTTAGTAAACCAGTGCCAAAAACTAGAGCTTTCAGTTTTTCCAAAAACATCAAATGTTTAACCCTATCAAATGATCCATAGAGATCAAGTATTTATAAATTATTTTTTAGCATGAATAATTGGTGATATTGAAAAATAAGCAGCAGTCAAGAAAATTTTTTACAACAACATCTTAAAAGTTTCTTGTCAAATATTATTTGTGTAAGGTGCCAAGACAGACTCTTATGGCACTTTTCAGACTCTTATGGCACTTTTTTACTATTCTGACTTCATTTCATAGTTTTTTTTTTCAATTCGAAATGATTTCAATCAGTTTACAACTTTTTGAATGGATCTGAGTTCGTTGAACACAGTCCTTAGAACTGACAAATATCTTTCACTGTATGTCATATACATGTTGTTTTCTTTGGTTTTATTTTGTATTCTCAAATGATTAATGAATATGAAACAGTTTCTGCAGCAGATAGCTCATGAATTGTTTTTGGTTATTTCAAGTATTTCAGTTTTTTTTGGCAGTTGATGTTGATATATTTTTTTTTAAATTTTGTTGGTAATAATATCAACTAGTCACTGTGATGGAACATTGAAAGCCTAAAAGAGTTCAATAACGTTGTGCACTGAATAAACTTTTTTTTTAATGGACTTTGGATGAAAATCTGAGAGGTTTGTTAATTTAAATTGATTTAATTATAATTTAATTTAAATTTAGAATACTTAAGGAAGAAATAGCTATTAATAAACCACCCTCACCGCGGACAG